GGGGGAGATACAAAGTTTGGCTGAAACTAGTATCAATCTAGAAACTCTAGATAATTATCGAAATTTGACCATGTAAACAGAGTGACACGTCAAACCTTTTGGGTGATTTTTTGTTTTAGTGATTCCAGGAAGTACAAGCTGCAGAATGAGAACACTCAATTGTCAAGTTAGAGAGATTCATTGTAACCTTGTAATCGTATTAATACTGAGAGATTAGTAAAATTATGTTAGCATAAGTGCTTAAGGGGAAAAAACTATTTAATGTTTCTGTAATTCTGCTTGCACTCTTGTTATTTTTCCAAGTCTTTCTGTACTTTGTATAAAATCTTAGAATATTACAGCACAGAAGGAGGCCATTCGGCCCATTGTGCCTGTGCAGGCTCTTTGGAAGAGCTATCCAATCAGTCCCACTCTCCCACTCTTTCCCCATACCCTTGCAATTTTTTTCTCTTCAAGTACCCATTTAATTCCCTTTTGAAAGTTGTTATTGCTGAAATGGCTTCACTGTTCTATTCTTTCCACTTTTAACCAAAAGTTGAAAGTTGTACGAGGATTAGGTTTGTGAGAAATTGCCTTTGGATACATGCTGTTATTCTCTGATGGTTTTTTTCCGTGGCTGCTGGGAAAGGTGATTACAGGCCTAAAATTGCAGTGAACTCCGTATTGCTTAGGATTGCCAGTACCTACATCGTGGAAGAAAGGAGGCTAAATTGTTGGAAGTATGCGCAGTCTGAAGTTACAGTAATACATTTTGAAGTTACATCACCACAGATTCAGTAAGTGCTGGTTTTAGGGCTTCTTGGACTGCAATTGTTCATTGGTACAAATTGCCAAATACCTGAGAAGAATTCTTTTATTCTCTTCCTTTTAATAATAATAATAATAATAATAATCCTTGCATTTGATATAGCGCTTTTCACGTCGGGAGGACGTCCCAAAGCGCTTCACAGAACACATTGTAAAGTGAATTGACTGGATATTTGTGGGCGAACGCGGCAGCCAATTGCGCACAGCAATGTCCCACAAACAGTCGTAGATTGAAAATGACCAATTTAATTATTGTTTTGGGTTTTTTGGAGGGATTATTATTAGGCGTGTGGAGTAAGGAAACTTGCCCAAGGTTTCGCCCTGCCTGGAATTGAACTCAGATCTCTCACTTGCAAAGCGAGTGCTCTAACCACTGAGCTACAGGACTCCACAATTTTATTAGGTATGTTGAATACACTCCCTTCAGATATTACATCAGAACAATTTGGACAATTGAACCATTTCCCATTAGTTAAAATTCTTTAAATGCACTGAATGCATTTCTGGAACCAGGCTATTTTTTGCAAGAATTGAGTGAGGCCTATGAACAAATACTCCATTGAATTCTATGGGTTCAGTCATCTTGAAACCATGAGAATAGTTTGTGGAAGCCATGGTTGAATTAAGAGACTGCAATCATTTATACACGGCAGTGTTCAATGAGGTCTGCTATAATAATAATACTTGCATTTGGACTGAGCTTCTGGGAGAAGATGAAATGGTGGATATTCCCATTTTGAATAGGTCCTTTTTTTTTATTATCCACTTGAATAGGCAGCTGAGTATTCGGTTCAGCGTCTCTTCTATAGGATAGCACCTCTAACGATGCAGTGCACCTCCAGTACTATATTGGACTGCAAAATAGCAATTTGAAAGCATTGCCTTTCAAATTAAAATACTTGTGCAGTACATAAATGGGCTGCCTGCACCATTTGCAACACATTGTATGTTTAACTTAAATGAATACCACCTGGCAATGCTTTTTGTTTTTCGTGTTAATTCCTCCAAACATTAGAATCCTTTATAATCCACAAAAAAACCTCAAGCTTAGAAATTACAATGTTTAATTTCCTAAATTGTGTCCAATTACAAAAAGAAATAATGTCATGGAGATTATAACTTGCCTAATTTATGTGATAAAATAGCTGAGAATTCAGTTCATTGAATGTCAGTGTGTAACCAAACCAAAAGCTGCTGCTGAGTACTTGCAAAAAAGCAATAAAAAAACTACATTAAGTAAGAGTTAACAATTGAAATGCAGTCAAAACTCTGAATTGTTAGTTGCCTGCTACTTAATTGTTGTTAATAGTGGTTTTGTAGTAAGTTTTTTTTATTAAACTATTCTAACTATGACTATTCTCACGTGCTTCAATATAGTGAATTTATTACTTTGAATTGTTTCACTCTGAAAGCTATTGAATAGGGATTTTAAAAGAGAGACGGATACCATGTAGTGCAAGCATTAGGGGGAACGGTGCAAGAGCATTGGGATTATAAGACCTATTGGGATTATAAAATCTACCAAGATTTGATAAATTTGTGGAATAAGCTTGGGCTGAATGGCATCTTCCTATTCGTTTTTCCTATGTTTCCTTTAGCGAGGTATTGTGTTCCAAAAAGATTGTGAGTACCATAGAGTGTTGAGACTTGGGTTGGGTTGAGTTCCCAATCAATCTATTTCAGGAAGTTGCTTCATTGTGTACAGGTCAGGCACCTCCCAAATAGGATGGAGGGGAATGGCGCAATCACGTATGTCTGCTGGCTGTTGGCCAAGACTCTTGTCAGAAGGTGACTAGTATGGAAGACTTAATGAAGGAGAATAAGCCATGGAGGGGGGAAGGGAAAGGAAAACCATTCAAGAAAGTCAAACTCTATAGTTTTTCAGTCCAATATTTGATTAATTTGCATAATTCAATTTCTTTATTAATGTCGATGGGGAAGTGGAACTGATTGGGTAGCTCTTCCAAAGAGCAGACACAATGGGCTGATTGATCTCCTTCTGTGCTGCAATATTCTATGATTCTATATCATTATTAGGCTTGCTTGCTTCATAACTGGGTTCAATTCGCAAGGAGAAACCTTAGGTAAATTTCCTTACTCCACACCCCTCTGCTTACCGAGCAGTAAGGAATCTGGCTGTTAAAGTCGATTGGCGAATCACTTTCTGGGGGCAATAATCCTTCCTAAATAAATAAATGGTCACTCAATCCACAACTGTTTGTGAGACATTGCTATGCACAATGCTGCCGTATTTCGTCAACAAAATACACAGTCAATCTTTGTGCCTTCAGCTCCCCTCTCGACTCTCTACCCACTCCTCGCTCCCTCCCTTCCCTTCCCTCACCCTGACCATTTCCCCCCTGCTCGGGTCCTGACCCAACTGTACAGCGCATTGGGATGTCCTCCCAACGTGAAAGGCGCTCTATAAATGGAATCGTGTTGTTGCTGTTGTTCTTTTAGACTGGAGAAGAGAAGGTTGAAGAGAGATGTGGTTACCGTCTGATTCTGAAGGGACTAGTTAATGTAGACTATGATAAACTGTTTTATCTTTTACTGAACAGTAGAACCAGAGGACACAGCCATAAATTGAAGCGGGGTAAATTCAGAACAAGTCTTTGGGAACACTACTTCAGTGAGTAGTAAACTTATGGAACAGGCTCCCTAGGGAGATGGTGGAAGCAGAAAATGTTGTTTGCTTCAAGAACAAATTAGATAGATTTCTGCTCAAACAATATCTGGATACAGTATATAGTTTGAGACACAACATGTCCAGCGACTGTCAAGATGGTGGAAGGCAAACTTCCGCCTAGCAAATTCTTATGTTATGTTCTTATCCACTTTACAATGCAATCTGTGAAGCGCTGTGAGACGTCTCTACGACATAAGGACTATATAAAATGCGAGAATTATTATTAATGGTTGTGTGAACAGAACCGTCATGTGCATAACTTTCTCTCTCTGCCGCGCTATTATGATGTGCAATCTATTATGCTGCCTTGTTATTTTGATAATTTGACCAAAAATGAAATGTGGAATACAATGATCAATTACTCTGTTTCATGTTCTAAGTAACCAACAGGGCAGCTGCAGTTTTTAGTTTAATTATATTGTTTCCACGGTTTCACTTCTGCAAATGAAAAATGTAGTACATAAATCCAACTATTTACGGATGAAGCCCTAATTTTTAAGTAAAGTACCCTGTGTGTAAATATTGACCAGACTCTCACTAGGCTGTAAACCTAACCCCGGTAGCATTACCTGAAATGTTACAGTAAGATGGTGATCCTATAGATTGTTTTAACTGTATTTGTAGTATAGTGGTTTTATTTCAGTACTATACAGAATATATTGCATGACATGTTGTATTGCATGGCACTATAACAATACTTTGTGTGCAAGTAGTATTGCATCTTGAGTGTCTTCTATGATTTCAAGTGCTGTGTGGTTTAGTGTACTAGTGTGTTCTGTGGAATTGGGGTGTGTCTAACTGATGTTAGTGCATGTCATTTAGAACAATCTATTGTTTTGGGCTTCTCAATACTTTGTTTTAAGCTTGAAATTGATGACTAAGATGATGATTCACATGTCTATAAAGTTGTCCAATCGTGTCTTATTACAGCCTTATACATACAATATGTTGAAGTAAAAATGCTGCATCTACTTGCTAAAAGTTCTGTGCTGTGAGGGTCTCAAGTAGAACAGTTGTTTGCTTTGAATCTCGTTGTTTAACTGCAGTCTAACAATTTCCCTTTTTAGATTTGTGCTGCGTTTGCTTTTAATCTGTCATGGGGTCTAATTTTTGATATTTCTACACAGGTGTAGAAATTTGGAGACTTTAAATGTTGGCCTGTAACTAATTACTTAGCAGAGGCTTGATCCTGTGCCTGAATTTTGCGCATCTTTGACTATGTTTTTGGCAATTTATCTCCATCAATAGGAAATGGTAGGGTTTATACATTGGGAAACCAACCCGCTGTGCTGTTCAGTTGGTCTATTCCATTCACAGAAAAGCGTTTTACTTGCTCTGATCGTGAATGCTGCAGTATGTTAAGTTGTCTATTTAAAAAAAGGCCTATCTGTTTGAATTTTAATAGAATTTGGAATGGTTGCAACATGTGGTTTGACCAATTGTAACTCTTGGAGCATAATATTCCTTTTACTTTGCTTAATCATGTTTTTCTTATCCTGTGTAGGACAATCGATAATCAGAATGAAGGACAGAGTTCTGTGCCAGACTCTCTTTGGAGAAGATACAGTGAATTTGAATTGCTGAGGAACTATTTAGTAGTTGCATATTCCTTTATAGTAGTGCCACCATTGCCTGAAAAAAGAGTAAGTTCTATACTGGGAATCNAAAAAGTAATTTTTGAAACAAACTATTGTGGGGTTTGTGGGGGTCGGGGGAATGGAGTGGGAATTATGCTTGATCAGAACTTGCCCCAAGGAACATCCTCTGACAAATTGGGCAGGTCTGCAGGATTCTTAAGCTTACAAGCCAAAGAAAGGGTAGAGACAAACATGCTGCATCATAGAATTAGACAGCACAGAAGGAGACCATTCTACTCATTGTGTCTCTGCCGGCTCTTTGGAAAGAGCTACCCAAATCAATCGCTCTCCCCCCATAGCCCTGCAAACTTGTCTTTCCAAATAATGATCTACTTTTCTCTTAAAAGTTATTATCGAATCGGCTTCCATCATACTTTCAGGCAATGCATTCCAGATCCGAACAACTCGCTGTGTGAAAATATTTCTCTTCACCTCCCCACTGTTTCTTTTAACAACTATTTAAAATCAGGGCCCTCGGGTTACCGACCCACCCCTACAACGGAAATAGTTTCTCCTTGTTCACCCTATCGAATCCTCTCATAATTTTGAAAACTTCTATTAAGTCTCCTCTTAACCTTCTCTGCTCCAGGGAGAATAATCCTACCTTCTCTAGCCTCTCCTGATAACTGAAGTCCCTCATTCCTGGTACCATCCTGGTAAATCTCCTTTGCACCCTCTCCAATGCCTTGACATCCTTCCTAAAGTGTGATCTCCAGAACTGAACACAATACTCTAACTGAGCTCTAACCAGTGATTTATGATGGTTCATCATGACTTTTGTGTTCTATGCCCCTTTTTATAAAACCTAGTATCCCGTATGCTTTGTAACAGCTTTATCTACCTGTCCTGTCACCTTCAAAGATTTACTTATATGAACCCCCAGGTCTCTCTGTTCCTTCACCCCCTTTAAGATTGTACCATCAGCTTACATTGCTTCTCCTCATTCTTCCGCCTCAAATGCATCACTTTGCATTTCTCCACATTAAACTTCATCTGCCACGTGTCTGCCCATTTTAGCAGTCTGTCTATGTCCTCTTGCAGTCTGCTACTATCCTCCTCACTGTTTATTACTTTCCTAGCTTAGTATCATCTGCAATCTTGGAAATTGTACTCCCAAGTACAGGTCACCCGTGGAGTCCTGTAGCTTAGTTGTTAGAGCGCTCGCCTCGCAAGTGAGAGGACCTGGGTTTGCCTCAGTTTACCTAGCAGTAAGTAGGAACCTGGTTGTTAATTAATATTAATAATCCTTGCATTTGATAGAGTGCTTTTCACGTCTTCTAGACGTCTCAGAGCGCTTCACAGAATATACTGTAAAGTGAATTGACTGTATATTAGTCGATTGGCGGATTGTTTTTCCAGGGGTAATAATTCCTTCAAAAAAACATTTGGTCATTCAATCCACGACTGTTTGTGGGATACTGCTGTGTGTAATTGGCTGCTGCATTTCGCCCACAAAATATACAGTCAATTCACTTTACAGTATACTCTGTGAAGCGCTTTGAGACGTCTCGAAGAAGTGATAAGGCGCTATATTAAATGCAAGAATTATTATTTATATGGATCAAAAAGAGCAGTGGTCCCAATATGGACCCCTGGGGGACATCACTGCACACTTCCCTCAAGTCAGAAAAATAACCGTTCACCATCACACTCTGCTTTCTGTCTCCATGGGCTTCTATTTTGCTTACAAGTCTCTTATGTGGCACATTATTAAACGCCTTTTTGAAAATCCATATAAACTACATCAACTGCATTACTTCGTCAAAAAAACTCTTATCAGGTTTGTTAGACACGATTTGCTTTTAACAAATCAGTGTTGGCTGTCCTTTATTAACCCATATTTTTCTAAGTGAAAATTTATTTTGTCTTGAATTATAGTCTCTAGAAGTTTCCCCACTACTGACGTTAGGCTGACTGGCCTGTAGTTCCCGGGTTTATCGTTCTGCCCCGTTTTGTAAACGGGAGTAACATTTGCAACCCTCCAGTCCTCTGGCACCACTCCAAAGAGGATTGAAAGATTGTGGCCAGAGCTTCCACTATTTCCACCTTTTCTTTCGCTCAGTAACCCAGGATGGTTCCCATCCTGTACAGGTTAGAGCACTTGCTTTGTAAGCGAGAGACCTGGGTTTGATTCCTGGCAGGCTGAAACCTTGGGCAGGTTTCCTTGCTCCACATGCCTGATAATAATCTCTCAAAAAAATAATAAATTGGTTATTTCAATCCACGACTGTTTGTGCGACACTGCTGTGTGCAATTGGTTGCTGCATTTCGCCCACAAATATAGTCAATTCACTTTACAGTGTATTCTGTGAAGTGCTTTGAGACATCTAGAAGACATGAAAAGCGCTATATCAAATGCAAGGATTATTATTTTTATTATATCCGGACCAGGTGATATATCTACCTTGAGCACAGTCGACCTTTTTAGTGCTTCCTTTTTGCTTATTCTTATCCTATCGAATTTCTTTATCCTCTCCTCCGATACTGTGGCATTGGCTGCATCCCCTTCTTTTGTACATCCTCTTAATAATAATAATAATAATCCTTGCATTTGATATAGCGCTTTTCACGTCGGGAGGACGTTCCAAAGCTCTTCACTGTAAGATGAACATTTATTATGAATGTAGTTCATAATATTCTTACAGATTCTGTTTCTTTGTTCTTCCTTAATCCTTAATGCATTTTTAATACTTTGTTGCATCTGATTGATCTCTCTGCTGCTGCCTTTTAAAATAATAATAATCCTTGCATTTGATATAGCGCTTTTCACGTCTTCTAGACGTCCCAAAGCGCTTCACAGAATATACTGTAAAGTGAATTGACTGTATATTTGTGGGCGAACGCGGCAGCCAATTGCGCACAGCAATGTCTCACAAACAGTCATGGATTGAAAATGACCAATTTATTATTGTTTTGGTTTTGGAGGGATTATTATTAGGCTCTGTGTGGAGTAAGGAAACTTGCCCAAGGTTTCGCCCTGACTGGAATTGAACTCAGGACTCTCACTTGCAAAGCGAGTGCTCTAACCACTGAGCTACAGGACTCAAAGAATTTGAGCATCAATACCAAGACTTCTATGTTTGTGTCATGCATAGGGGGGTGTTTGTTTGTCTCTTGTATGTTGCCAAAACTCAACAGTGATACTTTCCTGTTTTTCTTCTATTTGGATGATCAGCTTGATTAATGTGAAGAGGAATTTGATTTCTGAGGAGGAGTGCTTTGGGCCAATCCTAAAAGCAAACTATTCTAAAATAATTGAAGTAAATAAAATCTTTATCAAATCCTTCAAATGCAGGATCTGTTCTATTAGAGTCTGAAGGATTTGGCAGATCTTTTGGGTGTGCAGAGTTTGAGTTTACTAATGTTGCATTAATATTTTCTGAATAACATGCAGTGTGTTAATGACTTGAACAATGTATGTTGTACTCCATTCTTGCAGGCAGAATTTGTTTGGCACAAATTATCTGCTGATAACATGGATCCTGATTTTGTTGAACGACGGAGGATTGGTCTTGAAAACTTTCTGTTGCGTGTGGCTTCTCACCCTATTCTCTCGCAAGACAAGATCCTGTATTTCTTTTTAACACAGGTAGTAGCTTTTTTTGTATATTACACTTAATGCAACCTGCATTGGTTTATTTTACATTTACTGAATGTGACATTGGTGGTTGGGCTTTCAGGGTTTCTGACCTTGCACTCTGGAAGTCCATCCCAGAATCTTTTTGATCTTGCCTCCTTCAAGGTCTGCCTCAAGACCTTCCTCTTTCATCTCATTTTTGGCCATCTTTTTCTCTTTATTTCCCCCTTTCTCCTCAACCCCCAGCCAGGTGCAAACCTGAATTTGTCCTGTGCCTTGGGATGTCATCCTGCCGTGAAAGGTGCTATATAATTTATAACACCTTTATACTAACACTAGATAATTTGCATTGTATTACACCCTGGGCATAATTGGTATTTTCCTTCAATTGCCTCTTCCACACTAATCAGCTATTGAATCTTCTTCACCTCCCCCCACCTCATATATCTTTTGTTTTTCGGAAATAACAAGTATAGTAAAACACACAAGTCATGTCAGTCGGGACCATAACACTTAATATGACTTGCTCAAAGTCCAAATTGCAGGCAAACTGTACAAGTATAAATTCAGATTTCATCAATCTACACTATGCCTGCATAATTCAATGCAGCGGTAATTATGCATGAGGTAGTTCAGTCCTGCATTTGTTAAGTGGGCATGCTGTGACAGGTTAAGACTACATTTCCTGCGATCCAATGTATCTTGACCAGTCATCGCATGCGCACTTACCGGCAAGCATTGGAATTTCATTGAATCACGGGAAATTAAAGTTCTTCTGCACATGCGTCAACAGATCAAGACTGTTTCCCACGATTCAATGTAGCCAGCCGGTAAGTGTGCAAAAATCGACGGGTCAAGATGTTATTTCCTGTAATTCAAAGCAGCCAGTAGGTGCAGGAGTAATAGAGCGTAGGGGAGTGGCGTTAGGCGGTGATTAATATGACTAGTGCAAAGAAATCTAAGTATATTTGCTGGGAAACTGAATAGGACTAAGGTAGATTAACGAAGAAGAAAGTGTCACTACTATCATTCTCTCACCCAACCCTTGTCGGAGGCCTAGCATAGAGCATTGGTTAGAGCAAGTGAGAGGATCCAAGTTTGATTCCCGGGCTGGGTGAAACCTTAGGCAAGTTTCCTTATTCCACACACCTCTGTTTACCTAGCGGTAAGTAGGAACCTGGTTGTTAGTCAATTGGCGGATCACTTTCCGGGGGTTATAATCCCTTTTTTTAAAAAAATCATAATAATTTGGTCACTCAATCCATGACTGTTTGTGGGACACTGCTGTGAACAATTGGCTGCCGTGTTTCACCCACAAAGTATACAGTCAATTCACTTTACAGTATATTCTGTGAAGCACTTTGTGATATTTCAGTAATGTGATAAGGTGCTATATCAAATGCAGTTATTACTACTAGAGCACACATTAGGTAATTGACTTGACTTTTGATAGCCCAATAAAATTATTCCAATTCATGTATCTCATCATGCAATGTTTGTAAAATATGCAATGTGTTCTACAAATGGGCCAATTAGTCTGTTGACATTGGATTATAGCCCTTTTTTTAATATAGAATCATAGAATATTACAGCACAGAAGGAGGTCATTTGGCCCATTGTGCCTGTTCCGGCTCTTTGGAAGAGCTACACAACAGTCCTTCTCCCCTGCTCTTTCCCCATATCCTTGCAAATATTTCCTTTTCAAGTACCTCATTCCCTTTTGAAAGTTGTTATTGAATCTGTTTCCACCACCCTTTCAAGCAGTGCATTCCAGACTGTAACAACTCTCTGTTTAAAAAAAAGTCTCATTTCCCCTCTGGTACTTTTTCCAATTATCTTGAATCTATGTTCCCAAGTGTTGGATATCAAGAAAGGTCACCCAGCATTCTGTTTAGGCAAAATCTGTTAAGCCAAACTTTACTAGTTCTATAAAGTTACACCATGGAGGAATTATAACAAAGCAATGCTACCGCGGGACGAGATGTTCAGCAGCCGAAGTTCCAATCTGTCTTGTCTGGTTATTCAAGCTTTTGATCTTCCATCAAGTCTTCACTCATGCTGCTCCAATCTTTTCCTTCTCCTCGTTCTTTGTTCTCTTTATTTTTATACTCTCATTCCACTCCCTCTATACCTTCCACCAATCTCTTGTCAGTCATTTACAATCCGGTATTTGTATATCCACTCATTGGTCTTGCTTTTACAATCCGTTATTTTACATACCCTATCTTACACCATTCAATGGTTGGTGAATATGTTACAATCCCTCATTAACATATTCAATCATATGTTTCCTTCAACCCTCTTTCTTTGTAATGACTCCATAATTACATGATCACATGTTCCATGACCTCTCACCCATTTTGACCCATTATTAGTATGTTAATTTTGCACACCTTATGCTAACACAATTTACTGACCCACTTGCCAGTAGATACAGTTTCTCCCTATCTACTCTATCAAACACTTCATGATTTTGAATACCTCTATTAAATCTCCCCTTAACCTTCTTCGCTCTAAGGAGAACAAACCCAACTTCTCTCGTCTCTCCACAGAACCGAAGTCCCTCATACCTGGTATCATTCTGGTAAATCTCTCCAAGGCCTTGATATCCTTCCTAAAGTGTGATACCCTTTAGGTACTCTATGACTATATTTATAAAAGGATCCAATATGCTTTTTTAACAGTTCTATCAACCAGTCCTGCCACCATTAATGATCTGGTTATGTGAATCTTCAGGTCTCTCTGTTCCTGTACCCCCTTTAAAACTGTACCATTTATTGTATACGGCCTTGCCTCATTCTTCCTCCCAACATACATCACCTCATACTTGTTTGCATTAAACTTCATCTGCCATGTGTCTGCCCATTTCACCAGTCTGGCTATGTGTGCAGTCTGCTACCATCCTCCTCACTGTTTACCACGTTCCCAAGTTTTGTGTCATCTGCAAACTTTAAAATGTTGCTCTCTATACAATAACTAACTTATGTTTTTCCAAGTGAAAATTGATTTTATCCTGGATTATGGTCTCTACACGTTTCCCCACCACTGATGTTAGGCTGACCGCCCTGAAGTTACTAGGTTTATCCCTCTCCCCTTTTTTGAACAGGAGTGTAACATTTGCAACCCTCCAGTCCTCAGGCACCACTCCCATACCCAAGGAGGATTGAAAGATTGTGGCCAGAGCCTCTGCTATTTCCACCCTAACTTCCCCCAGCAACCTAGGATGCATTCCATCTGGAACGGGTGACTTTCCTACTTTGAGCGCTGCTTTTAAGTACCTCCTCTATCTATTTTTATCCTATCCAATTTCTCTACCAATTTCCTCCTTTACTGTTACATTGGCAGGATTTTTTTTTGTGAAGACAGATGCAAATTACTCATTCAGTACCTCAGCCATGCCCTCTGCCTCCACAAGAATTTTTCCTTTTTGGTCCCTCATCGGCCCCACCCTTGCTTTGACCATCCTTTTACTCTTTTTGTGTTTATAGAAGAGTTTAGTGTTCCCTTTTATGTTACCCATTAATCTTTTCGTATACACTCTCTTTGCCCCTCTGCATTTTCTGTATTCTGCTTGATTCTCTAATGAATTTTGAAACTGACATTTATCATAAACCTCCTTTTTCTGTTTCAATTTAATCCCAATTTCCTTAGTCATACAGATATCTCTAGCTTTGGATGCCCTACTTTTCCCCCCTCATGGGAATGTGACTGGTCTGTACTATTTCTTTCTTGAAGTCCTCCCATTGCTCATTTACCATTTTACCCATCAATCTTTGTTTCCAATCCAACTGGGCCTCATCCCTTTTCAACTCAATGAAATTAGCTCTTCCAGTTGAGTATCTTCACCTTTGATTGTTCCTTCTCTTTTCTGCTACTACTAATTATATTGTGATCACTATTATCCAGATGCTCTCCCACTGAAACTTGCTCCACTTCATTCCCCAGGACTAGATTCAGCAATGCTTCCTTCCTCGTTGGGCTGGAAACATACTGATCTAGAAGGTTCTCCTGTACAGGAATTCTTCCCTCTCCGTGCCCTTTACACTGCTTTCTTCTCAGTCTGTTTGGATAATTGAAATCCTTCATTATCACTACTCTATTGTTTCTACATCTTTCTGAAATCTGCTTGTGGATTTGCACCTCTATCTCCTTCCAACTCTTTGGTAGTCTATACTATACACCCAGTAGTGTAACAGCTCCTATTCTGCTCCTTAACTTTAACCAAATAGATTCCGTCTTTGATCCCTCCAGCACATCATCCCTTTCCAGGGCTGTAACAGTATTTTTGATCAATACCTCCACTCCTCCTCTTTTTCCTTCCCTATTCCTCCTGAATTCATTGTAGCCAGGCATGTTAAGATCCTATTCTTGCCCTTGTTTGAGCTAAGTCTCCGGTTACCACCACTACATCAGAATCCCATGTGGCAACTTGCGCCTGCAGCTCACCAACCTTATTTGTCACATTTACGCACATGCACTCCAAAACTGCCTTTATCTGTTTTACACTTCCCCCTCCTCTTTCTGGACATCTCTTTATTCCGAAGTTATCGGTCGCTCTATGTTCCTCTCTGATGTTACATCCTGATGCAAATATGTTACACATTTGCTATTTAGTTATTTTATTATAACACAAATCTTCATTTCCAGTTGTTAAGTTAAGCTACTTGGCAGGAGGTTTGTAAGATTACTGCACTTCGCACCTCCTTCCCACCACCAAACAAATCTGCTTGCCACAATCTCTGGAACTGGTAATTTAAGAGTGAGCCCACATCATATTAAAATGGCCATGTTCAAACCTCAAGGCAGTTTGTTGTGACAGTATATTGAAGTGTTCACAAACGTGTAGGCAAATGTGAGGTCTACAATTTTTAAATGATAACATTTTCTAATGGTTGGAAATGCTTCTGGTTAAATTGTATTTCTAAAATGATGCAGCAGCATTAATCGAAACATGATTGCCTTTGTCTACAAAAGGCAATTGTTTTACAAAAGTAAAATCTTTTCTTTTAAATTATTTCTAGGAAAATGGTTGGAAAGAAGCAGTGAATGAGACTGGATTCCAAACTAAGGTATGATGGAATTTATTATTTTTGGTAAATCAATATGGAAGAATGAGTAACACTATTTAAAATTTCCTAATACCATCTGAAATCATTAAAAAAAAATTTTGCTTGTTTAGAAAACAGTTTAAAGGAAATGTCAAGAGCAGAATACAACAACAAGATTCCATTTATAGAGCGCCTTTCACGTCGGGAGGACGTCCCAAGGCGCTGTACGGTTAGGTCAGGACCCGAGCAGGGGGTAGAGAGTCGAGAGGGGAGCTGAAGGCACGGTCAAAGAGAAAGGTCTTGAGACCGGCCTTGAAGGAGGAAAGGGAGGAGGCAGCGAAGGCACTGGGGGATGGAGTTCCAGAGCCTCGGGGCTGAGAGGCTGAAGGCCCGGCCACCGATGGTAGGGCGGTTGGGGCGGGGGATGTGGAGCAGACCGGAGCCAGAGGAACGGAGGGTACGGGCAGGTAGGTAGGGGGATAGTAGGTCGGAGAGGTAGGAGGGAGCAAGGCCATGAATGGCCTTGTAGGTGAGGATGAGGATCTTGAATTCGATCCTCTGGGGGATGGGGAGCCAGTGGAGGCGAGCGAGGGTGGAGTGATGTGGTCACGAAGCCTGGTGCGGGACAGTACACGAGCTGCAGAGTTCTGAATGACCTGCAGCTTGTGGAGGGAGGTGCCGGGAAGGCCGGCGAGGAGAGAGTTTCCATAGTCCAGCCTTGAGGTGATAAAGGTGTGGACCAGAGTTTCAGCAGCGTGAGGGGTGTGGTAGTGTCGTAGTCTGGCGATGTTTTGGAGGTGATGGAAGGCGGTGCCAGTTGTGGCGCGGATATGAGGAAGAAAGGACAGCTCAGGGTCGAACAGAACACCGATTTCCTGACTGGCTTTGAGAGGTGGAGAGTGCAGCCTTGGATTCTGATGCTGTCAGCGCCTGAGGTGCGGAGGCGCTGACGCGAGCCAATCAGGAGGGCCTCAGTTTTACGTACGTTGAGCTGAAGAAAGTTGTCTCTCGTCCAGGACTCGATGTCGGACAGGCAGCTGTCAGGACATCGGTGGTCGTGGAGTTGAGGGTAGAGGAGGAAAGGTAGAGTTGGGTGTCATCGGCATACATGTGGAAGTTAACCCCATGTCTGCGGATGATGTCACCAAGGGGGAGCATAGGACCGAGGAGGGGACCGAGGACAGCCCTGAGGGACACCGCACGAGACAGTGTATACAAATATAGAATACAAAGATTTATATTTATAAAGAAATACATAAATGTTTATTCAATCTTTTTCTACCTTTGAGGAAGTTACATCAATAATCCTTGCAAATGGTACAGCAGCTTATCACGTCATCAATGTATAAAAGCACTTCACAGGATATATTGTAAAGTAGATTGACTATTTTGTGGGCAAAATGCAGCAGCCAGTTTGTGCACAGCAAGGTCCCACAAACAGCCATGGAGTGAGTGACCAATTTTATTTGGGTGATTTGTTAGTAAAGATACCGGTTTAAACGTCATTCATCGATTTTTAAAATTTGTCAGGTTGCTTAGTATTGGTGAGAGAGATGTTTAAATTGGATAACTCATGATGAAAGGAGTAGGTTCCTAAATGTTCTCTTCCCATATGACCCCATAACAAATATGCTGGTTCAATAGTGGTGGCCAACCCATGGCCCACGGCCTGGAAGTGGCCCATGGGGCAGTGAAGAAGGGTCTACCGAACATTGGCACTAGTCTAAGGTGAGTTTATTTTTAAATCAATGATTTGTTTCCATTTTTTTTCTTGTTTATTTCTTAAAAATAATCAAAGATTATAATCAATAAGATTTAAGAATATTCAATCAAGAAAATGTATTTTGTTGGCCAACCAAAAAGGTTGGCTGCCACTGGTAGTCAACCACCCTTTGTATTTTTGTTTGCTACCTAAAGCAGACGAGAGTTCAGTTTTTGTTGGTTCACTTGCAAACAAATTCTAATACATTGTTCATATTGGCCTCTGATATTTGTCCAGGCTTATTTCCTGTGACTTCATACTTAATTGAAAAAATAAGAACCGTGGCCTGCTGTTGAATGCCTTCAGCTTTCATTTCTACAACAACAACAACAACTTGGATTTACAACAACAACTTGGATTTATACAGCGCCCTCCACACCGTTCGGCGTTTCCAAGCACTTCACAGTAACGGATCCCAGAGCCGAGCGAGGGGGAGGAAGGTGACCAAAGGCGCAGTCAAAAAGAAAGGTCTTCAGCAGAGACCTGAAAATAGGAAGAGAGGGTGCGAGGCGAAGGGAATGAGGAAGGGAGTTCCAGAGCCTCAGGGCGTAGTGGCTGAAGGCATGGCCACTGAGGGTGGAGCGGAGGACTCGAGCGACAAGGAGGAGGCCCAGACCCGGAGGAACGAAGGCAACGGGCACTGTTGTGAGGAGAGAGGTCGGAGAGATAGGGGAGTGCAGCGGAGTGGAGGGATTTGAAGACGAGGGTGAGGATCTTGAAGTCTATCCTCTCTGGGACAGGCAGCCAGTGCAGTCTGGCAAGGACTGGGGTAATCGGGGAAGCAGAGTTTGGTGCGGGTGAGAATGTGGGCGGCAGAGTTTTGAATAATCTGGATTTTATGGATGGTAGTGGAGGGGGAGACCGGCGAGGAGGGTATTTGAATAGTCCAGTTGAGAAGTGACAAAGGCATGGACCAGGGCTTTTGGAGAGAGGTATTGGCGGAGGCAGGCGATGCGTTGGAGGTGGAAGAAGGCGGTGCTGGTGAGGGACCGGATATGGGGGAGGAAGGATAATTGGGGGTCGAACCTGATGCCGAGGTTGTGTATAGGTTTGGAGAGTTTTAGGGGGAGGTCGGGTAGATGGAGGAGGTGAGAACTGTGAGATTTTAGACGTTGACGAGAGCCAACGAGTATGGCTTCTGTCTTGTCAACGTTCAGCTGAAGGAAATTTGCGCTCATCCAGCTCCTGAGGTCTGACAGGCAGACTGACAGAACATCAAAGGACTGGGGGTCGCAAAGTGAGATAGAAAAATATAGTTGGGTGTCGTCCACGTACATGTGGAAGTGTACCCCATGTTCTGCGGATGACATCCCCAAGAGGGAGCATGTAGATCAGAAAGAGGAGGGAGCCAAGGATGGATCCTTGGGGTACCCCGCAGGTAACCGGGTGATAGCGGGAGATGTACTGCTGGCGGTTTGTGAGGTACGACTCGAACCAGGTGAGTGCGGTCCCACTGAGGTGGGTGACGGAGGATGGAGTGATCGACTGTGTCGAATGCGGCGGAGAGGTCCAGGAGGACAAGGAGGCAGAGGGAGCCCTGGTCACAGATAGAGGATGTCGTTTGTGACTTTCGCAAGCGCAGTCTCTGTACTGTAGGGCAAAAACTGGTCTGGAGGGGATCGAAGAGGGAGTGGGAGGAGAGGTGTCCGTGAAGTTGATTGGCAACAACGCATTCTAGGACTTTTGCGAGGCAGGGCAGGTTAGAAATAGGGCGGTAGTGCCTGGGGTTTGAGGGATCTAGGGAAGGTTTTTTGAGGAGGGCGGTGATGACAGCAGTTTTGAGGGGGGCAGGGACTGATCCGGAGGAGAGGGACTGGTTGATGACGTCAGCCAGTAGTGGGCAGAGGAGAGGGAGCTGGGTGACCAGCAAATTGGTGGGTTTCATGGAGGTGATGGTGGGTGAGAGGGAGGAGGGAGAGATGTGGAGGAAAGAATGTACTATGGGGGTCGTGGTAGGAGCAGATGATGGGGAGGGTGAGGGGGACAGAGGTGGTGGGTGACAAGAGGCAGGTGGATGAGGATGCCTGGTGGATGTTGTGTATTTTAGATGAAAAGAAGTCCATGACCTCCTCGCACTTGGCATTCGATGTGAAGATTTGAGGAGGCCTGAGGGGGGGCACAGAGGAGGTAGTGGGTGGTGGGAAAAAAGGATTTTTGGTTTGTGTTTAGCCTCCAAGCTGATGTTGGAGTAGAAGGCCGTTTTTGCACGTATCAAAGAACGGCGGTAGCTGTGGAGATGCTTGATTCACAGTTGGCGGTGAACTTTCAGGCCAGTTTTCTGCCATCTGCACTCGAGCAGCCTGATTTGGGTTTTTAGGCAGTGGAGATGGTTGTTGTATCAGGGGGATCGGGTGGGTTTGGAGATGGTCCTGGATTTCAGGGGGACGAGCGAGTTGAAGGTGGAGGAGAGGCAATCATGGAGCAGCTGGACAGCTGCTTCAGGATCTCCGCGGGTGGAAAGCCAGAGGAATAAGATATTTGATGATGTGAGGGCCTTTGTGAGGGTCTCGGGCGTAGCCTTTTCCAAGAGCGGTAGAGAATGGTTGAGGGCTTGGTGGAGGAGAGAGGGATGTGAGAAGGAGATGAGGAAGTGGTCCGAAATGGGCTTGTCCATTATGCTGAGGTCGGAAATGTCAAGTCTGTGGGTGATAACGAGGTCAAGGGCATGACCACGGTTGTGAGTCGGTGAAATGTGAAGGGTGAGGTTTAGGGAGGAGAGGAGGGCAGTGAAGTCGGTAGAAGTGGTGCAAGGGGAGTTTAGGTGGAGGTTGAAATCGCCCATGATGGGCACGCGTTCAGAGCAGAGGGACAGGGAAGAGAGGAGAGTAGAGATGTCCGTGTGGAAGGAACCAGGGGGCTAAGGGGGTTGGTAGACAAGGAGAATTTTCAATGGGAGAGAGGGGTGGAAGAAGGTGAGGTGCTCGAAGGAGAGGACGAGTTTGCTATATTTATATTCAATGCAACGTTCTCTTTGTAAATCCACTGATTGCCCTCAGCAAATCTTGTTTAATATGTTCAGAAAGCAACTTGATTGAGTTCTTCGATGAAGTAACGGAGAGGGTTGATGAAGGTAATGCAGTTGATGTTGTGTATATGTACTTTCAGAAGACGTTTTGATAAAGTGCCACATAATAGACTTATTAGCAAAATTGAAGCCCATGGGATTATGGGGACATGGATCCGAAATTGGCTGGGAGACAGAAAACAGAGGTGAACAGTTGTTTTTCAAACAGGTATATAGCAGTGTCCCTCAACGATTGGTATTAGGACCACTGCTTTTTTAAATATATATTAATGACCTGGAATTGGGTATAAAGTGCAACGGTTCACAGATGACACAAAACTTGGAAACGTTGTAAACTGAGGAGGACATAGTGAAATGGACAAACGCATGGATGATGGAATTTAATGCAGAGATTTGTGAAGTGATGAATTTTGGGAGGAGGAATGAGGAGAGACAATATCAGATAAATGGTACAACTTTAAAGGTGGATTAGGATCAGAGAGACCCTGGGGGTTCACATGCACACATCTTTGAAGGTGGCAGGACATGTTGGTAAAGTGTTAAAAAAGCATATGGGATTCTTGACTTTGTAAATAGAAGCATAGAATATAAGATCTATGCCTCTACTCTCCAGCTACCGCCCCATCTCTAACCTCCCATTCCTCTCCAAGGTCCTGGAACGAGTCGTCGCATCCCAGCTCTGCTCCTTTTTCGCCATTCCCTCTTTGAACCCCTCCAATCCAACTTGCGCGCTGCCAGTAGCTCAGAAACAGCCCTGGTCAAAGTAATAACATTCTGAACATCTGTTATGAGGGTTCCCTCTGCCTCCTTGTCCTCCTTGACCTCTCTGCCGCCTTCGACAGTGTCGAACACTCCATCCTCATAAACCGCCTCTCCTTTTTACTTAACCTTCACAGACCTGCCCTTGTCTGGTTCGATTCCTGTCTCTCTCACCATCTCCACTTTGTTGCCTCTTAACGGTTTCTCCTCCAGCCCCGCACTGTCGTGTCTGGCGTCCCCCAGGGCTCCGTCCTTGGCCCTCTTCTCATGCTCCCCCTTGGTGATATCATCCACAGACATGGGGTCAACTTCCACATGTATGCGGATGACATCCAACTCTATCTTTCTGCCTCCACCCTTAAGTCCAGGACCACTGCTGTCCTGACAGACTGCCTGTCGGACATCAAGTCCTGAATGAGGGCAAATTTCCTACAGTTGAATGTGAACAAGGCTGAGGCCCTCCTGATTGGCTCATGTCAGTGCCTCTGCACCTCAGGCTCTGGCAGCATCAACCTCCATGGTTGCACACTACAACTCACCGCCAGTCAGGAACCTAGGTGTCTGGTTCGACCCTCAACTGTCTTTTCTCTCCCACATTCAAGCCATGACCCGCTCTGCCTTCCCTCACCTCCGTAACATCGCCTGACTCCACCACTACCTCACCCCTCAAGCTGCTGAAATGGGAGACCGTTGAAGCAGAAAATGTTGTTTGTTTCAAGAACAAATTGAGATAGATTTCTGCTAGAAAATAATATCTGTGGATACAGTCTATAGTTTGGGACACACCCTGTCAAGCGACTGCCAGGATGGTGGAAGGTGAACTAGATGGACCTTGGACATCTTTTGCCTAGCAAATTCTTATGTTTGCAAATGCAAAATTATTTTCCAGAGATTTTTAATGGATTATGAATTTGAGTTCCTGCAACTTTATGAATCCTAGTAATTTTTTTTGTAATGAGAGTAATGCATAAGCCTTGAGAATATTTTAGTGTTGAACATAGTCAAAGAATAGTTTCTAGAATGTTAATACAGTCCTTTTTTACCCTCATTTAAGCTGCTGCTAATAATGCATAAATGTTCAATGAAGCTGCTTTTTGTAATGTTACACCATTTGGAGCTACACATGGAGGCCTGTAGCTCATTGGTTAGAGCACACGCCTCACAAGCGAGAGACCTGGGTTCGATTCCCAGCAGGGCGAAACATTGGGCAAGCTTCATAACATGTAGGAGCAGGAGTAGGCCATTCGGCCCTTCGAGCCTACCCCGCCCTTCAGTCATGGCTGATCTTCTAATCTAACTCCAGCTAATACCATAACCCTGCCTTATCCCCATATCCCTTAATCCCTTTTCCTTACTCCACACTCCTCTGTTTACCTAGCAGTAAGTAGGAACCCGATTGTTAGTCAATTGGGAATAGTTTTTCCAGTGGTAATAAGTCCTTCAAAAAAAAAACAATAATAAATTGGTTACTCAATTCATGACTGTTTGTGGGACACTGTTGCGTTTCACCCACAAAATTTACAGTCAATTCACTTTGCAGTGAAACACTTTGAGAAGTCTCGAAGCCGTGATTAGGCACTATGTCAAATGCAAGGATTACTATTTTTATTTAAATATAGATGTAAAGTATATCTGACAAGATACATGTAGGTCCACACTTAGTACATGTTCCTTGGAGATGTAGAAAGTACCTGGAAGCACTTTTAACTCAATTCTGAATACTGGGTTATTCTGGCCATGACTGCTAAAATGGGAAATTGCATTGATTGTTTGCTATCCATAGGGTAGTAAGTAATTAATGAAGGATTTCCTTAATTTTCTTACTTTGTCCCAATGTTTTGATGCTTTCATTAACAATTAGGAATATGGTAATTGATAACAGCACTTTAGAAGCATGTTTCAACATCACATTGGAAGATGTGTCACACATGTTTTAATAAAATGCTTTTCCTCGATGCAGAGATGCTATTTGTTTAACCCTTTTGGGTGTTGGGTTTTATGGTTTGTACATTTTCCTCTATTTTCCTACTTTCTTAATTTGACTTTCCTTCTAGATTACTTTTTTGGAATGTGAGGGAAACTTATCTTAGTTATGTTATTTAGTTGTTTTACCAAAAACCTGGATCCGTTTTGTGAGACTTTAGTTAGACGGACAGACACTACCCAGCACACAATGTGGCGTAGGTGGGGGGGGGAGGGAAAATTAAGGGTACCGCTTGCCGGAGAACGTTTCTGGCTATAACGAGGACAGTTACCCTTCCCCACTCCTCCCGTCTTGCACATCTATTCTGTCCCCTCTCCTGGCTCATTTCTAGAATCCATTCATGCTTTCAAAGCGATAGATGTAAAGAACGCTCAATTTAACGGTCTTCTAACAACCACTTTTCAAATGTTTTCTTATTTTAAAAATCGATTTTAAGAAAATGTGGGCAGGGAGGGGTAAAGAGAGAGCGAGCTTGCTGTGGGTTGCTGATGGGTGTGTATGATAGCTCAACATGTGGAGTGCTGTAATGTAGTGGTTAGCGCACTTGCCTCACAAGTGAGTGCACTAATCTGAGTTCAATTCCTGGGTGGGACGAAACTGTGGCAGGTTTCCTTACTCCACACGCCTCTGTTTACCTAGCAGTAAGTAGGAACCTGGTTGTTAGTTAGTTGATTAGCGGATCGCTTTGCGGGGTAATAATCCCTCCTCCAAAAAATAATGATAATTTGATCAATCAATCCCAACAACAAACAACAACAAAATTACAATTCTAAAGTGCCTTTCATGTTGGGAGGACGTCCCAAGGCGCTGAACAGTCAGGGATCAGGACCCGAGCATGGGGGGGGCAGGGTTGGGATGATGGAGGGGAGAGGTAGGAGGGCGGCTGAAGGCACGGTCAAAAAGGAGGATATTGAGTCATGCCTTGAAGGAGGCAAGGGAGGGCGCAAGGCGAGTCAAGTGGGAGTCATGAAGCAGGCTGGAACCTGCTGAACGGAGGGAGTGGACAGGTTGATAGGGGATTAGCAGGTCAGAGAGGTAGGAGGGGGGGTAAGACGGTGGAGAGCTTTGAAAGTGAGGACGAGGATTTTGAATTCTATCTGCTGAGGGATGTAGAGCCGGGTGAGGGTGGAGCTGATGGGATCATGGAGCTTGGTGCAGGAGAGGACACGAACTGCAGAGTTCTGGATGATTTGCAGCTTGTGGAAGGAAGAGTTGGAGAGGCAGATAAGGAGGTAGTTTCCCTAGTCGAGCCTTGAGGTGACAAATGCGTTTACGAGGGTTTCAGTGGCCTAAAGGGTGAGGCAGTGGGGGAGTCGGGCAATGTTGCAGAGGTGGGGGAAGGTGGAGCGGGTCATAGCATGCATATGGGGAGAAAACACAGCTTCGGTTCATTAAGACTCCCAGGTTCCTAACTGGTTTGGTGAGGTGGAGCGTGCATCCATTGATGCTGATTCTGCCAGTGCCTGAGGTGCAGCGGCACTTGCGCGAGCCAATCAGGAGGGCCTCGGCCTTGCTGATGTTCAACTGTAGAAAGTTGGCTCTCATCCACGACTGTTTGTGCGACACTGCTGTGTGTGATTGGCTGCCGCGATTCTCTCACCTAGCAAATATGAAATATCCAATAGTCCTACTTGTAGAAATCTAGTCATCATTTTTTAAATCTACGTTGTATCTATTTATGCCTGACCAAATAAAATTGGTCACTTGTTCTATGGTTGGTTGTTGGACATCGCTGTGACAAACTGGCTGTCATGTTTTACTCACAAAATATACGGTCAATTTACTTTACAGTATATTCTATGAAGCGCTTTGAGATGTCTCAAAGATGTGATAAGGCGCTATATCAAATGCAAGGATTATTATTATCATTAAGTTGCTAGCAATGTTGCTTCCTGTGTCAGTGTTAGAATTTCCTGTCTTCCATTTTGCTTTCAGATTGTGTTTGGTTTAAAATGTCTGTTTTTGTCATGTATTAATGTAACCTTTTCAAGTTGTTCTGGAAGCAAGTCTTTTCCTAAAGATGAAAGAAAATATATTTTGAAATCTACTTTTGTTTTTACAGGCAGACTCTAGATTAAAAGCTCTCAATGCAACCTACAGAGTTAAGAACCCAGACAGGTATTTTTTCGATTTATCTTAAATGTATGGTTGTAAGGTTCCAGATGTCCTCCATTAACTTGTTCAAATGACTGTTCACTTTGAGCCTTAACCACTATGGTCAGTGCTTGTCCACAGCCAAGCCTGATTATAGCAATGAATCTTTGTGCCATTAGTAGGCACTCCAAATGTTGAAGGTACATTGAGGCTTGAGGTGAACTTCATAGAGGAAATCATAGAAAATCTACTGTTTGTCATTTGTGTACTGCAGTACTATACATAGAAGATGAATTAGAAAAGTTTTGTATTGTGTACTTCTGTTAAGGTTGTAGTCATTCTATAAATACAAATTTTCCTCTAAACAAAAGATGTCAATACTCTTGGAATAGTTGGACATTTTACTGGATATGCATATTGTACCTTCCAGGTTGTTTGTGTCACAACTGAGAACTGGATTGTACACATGGGAGTGGAGAAGACTGTATGACTTTGAGGCTCCAGAAAGTTAAAGCTTTATTAGACTTATACTATTGTGTAAAATTCATGCACAAAAAACAGACTATATAAAAGTATGATGAAACTTAGGTGCAAACTTAGGATAGCTGGTGAGGAAACTGAGGCTTAGGGCGACGGCTGCTGAAGGCGTTACCTGGAGTCCGAGTTTGTGACACACGTTCGTACGTCCAGCACCTGGAATCCACCTTGATTGGCTGCAGAGAGCCCAACAGCTGCTGCTTGAACTCCATTTGGTGGAACCGTCGCTCAATGGGAAGGGATGTGTGCCCGAGCTGCAGACAAGATGGTGGCAATGCTGTCACCCATTTCATGCCAAGATGTGTTGTCCACCAGGTAGCTCGCAGAGAGTTCCTTGTACCTACCATCACCTAGTGAGGGCTCAAACCTGCGCTTGTTGGATATTAAATGACCAACCTTATGACTATCCTCCTTTGGGGGAGGTAAGCAGGGTGTCCTTGAAGTTGAACTGGCTCCAAGGTGACATGCCTGGCAATGGAATCTCGGAATCAAGCCAGCCCTCTGGCGAGCTCGGTAGTCCGGTTCCTGAGCCAGGTGGGTCCGCAGTATTCCAGGGCATTGCTGATGACCGCACAGCCAGCCTGGCTCATCGGCAGGATCTGGAAGGGCAGACCATTCACTTGGGAGAGGGAATCATCCCACATTGCCTGTTAACCCTGCAAGCCAAAGCTCTAATGGTAAGGTAGGGTGATCCTAGCTGGACAAACAGCAGGATAGCTTGCCAGACAGTGATATCAATGGCAAGCTATGCGGTTTTAGCTGCTTAGACTCCAGCAGTCCCCCAATGCTCACTTTGTGGTTCCCCCAAGCCTTGGCTCCTGTCAACCTGTGCCTAATACGTTTTGAAATTAAATAAGCAGAATGCGTTCCTCCAGAGAGAGTGCGCATTACATTCCAACAATCTATCATGTGTGGGTGTGATGCACGGAATTTTCAGTTTGGTTTGGATTCTCTTAAGCATGGTGATGGTCTTCCACATGTCAGACTGACTGACCCACCAAAGAGGTACAGAAACTTCTACTTACAATGCACCGATTTTCATTTTGTCCTTAATGTTTAAATTAAATTGTTGTACAACAACCATGGGCGAGAGACTTTACTTGCCTGAAGAGAGCTTCACCTGATCTTTTAAAAATGACTTGAAGTGAGAGGCGTGGGTGAAGAAGACCTTTAAACCCATTAGATTGTCATATTTCCAAAATAACCTCCCCTTCCTTCCATTACAGCTTCTAGTTTGTTAAATAAGTTGTCACAGTCACAGCAACCATTCCAGGTAACTTGTTCCAGCTATTGATTAACACTCTACGTAAAGAAATGCTTCCTGGTGTCTGCTTTTAAACTTGTCCTTCACAATTTATGCCCTCTTGTCACACTGCCTGTTCGCTGTATTGTCGATTCCCTTTCACAATCTGGTCAAGGACTACTTGCATTTATTTAGTGCCTCCACGTGACTCTAGTATGAGGTCTTAAAGGTTAGCAGATTAATAGAAAACACAGAACACCGAAAGGGGAGATGTAAGTATATCGACCGCACTTAAGGTTGAGAGAATGTTTAAAAGTTTTTAAGGCAGAGAAAGATTTGGCTTACCAGAGTTTAGCATACAGATTGTGCTCTTGATACAGTATTTTAATATCAGAATTGTTTTGGTGGTAGTGCTATGTTCTTTTCCAGTGTCATCTGTTTCCTTAATATTTAACTCTGCAGAGTCTTGTAATCAGCTCAGTGGTTACCACCTCACTTTTCTCTACAGGCTTTGCCATTCTTACTTTTGTTTCTCAAACTCCTTTTTAGTTTATTTTGGATCATTTATCTCTGATTCTTTCCTAAATTGGATTGAATGTTCTGATGCTCTCATTTTCTAATCATTATTTCTTGGTGACCTCTTTTGAAAAATTAACTTGCTATTTGGAGGAAAATATTTTTCCTAAAAATTCTATGTTTGTAGAATAACTTGCTATTATTCTACAGCAAGTTATTGTTCCCAACAAGAAAGGTAGAAGATGACTTTATTGGTTTGTTGTGTTCTTGTTTTTGGTAACTCACTTTGTGGAGTCCCCATAGCTCAGTGGTTAGAGCACTCACATCACAAGCGAGAGACCTGGGTTCGATTCCCGGAAGAGTGAAATGTTGGGCAAGTTTCCTTACTCCACGCGCCTCTTGTTTATTTAGCATTAAGTAGGAACCTGGATGTTAGTTGATTGGCAGATCGCTTTTCCGTGGGTAATAATTCCTTCGAAAAGAAAAATAATAAATTGGTCACTTCAATCCACGACTGTTTGTCGGACACTGTTGTGCGCAATTGGTTGCCGCGTTTTGGCCACAAAATATACAGTCAATTCACAGTATATTCTGTGGAGCACTTTGAGAGGTCTTAAAGATGTGATAAGGTGCTATATCAAATGCAAGAATTATTATTTTTATTGCTTGTTTCCCTACTCGTGCATAACCAACATTATGAACCTGGAAAAAATGAGATTTGCATTTTATGTGCAAAATTCTATTTTTAACTAAGCAAAGTCTGGGCGATTTGCTCACTTCTATATTTTAATCTTTTACTACTACAACAACAACTTGCACCCCACATGAAGGATAGTGTCTCAGAGCACTTAACAATGGCGGAGCCTGACTCTGAACGGGGGGAGGTGGCTATAAGCACGGATGAAAAGGAAAGTTTTCAGGCGGGGCTTGAAAGAGGGGAGAGAGGGGACAAGGTGGAGGGATTGAGGGCGTGTGTTCCAGAATAGTGGCTGAAAGCAAAACATCTGATGGTGGGGCGGAGGGTACGAGGGATGAGCAGGAGGCCGGTGCCAGTCGAGTGGAGGCGCCGTGTGGTGGATTGGGGAGTGAGGAGATTGGAGAGGTAGGCCGGTGCCAGGGAGTGAATGGATTTGAACACAAAATTTTATTGCTAAAATTTCAAAAAAAACTACGTAATGGAATATGTCGTTTTGCTAATATATTGCCAAAAACACCCCCAAAATCTAGTTCTCCCACAACCCACCACATCCTCCACACTTCCTCTCCAGCATCCTCGATCCTCACTTCCAATGCCAAATGCAAAGAGGTCCTGGACTTCTTTATCTCCAAATAGATAACATCCGCCTGGCTTCCTCTTTCTGAATCCTCCTTCGCCACCCTCTCCTTCTACCATGCCCACCCACACTCCTTTGCCCCATGTCGCCCTCCTTTCTTTTCTCCACCATCACCCAGATGAAGCCCACCACCTGTGTCCTCAACCCCCTCCCCACCCAGCTTTTGCTCACTCAACTCCCCCTTCTCTGCCCACTGCTGGCTGACACAATCAATCAGGCTCGGTCCACTATCCCTCAAAACTGCTGTAGTCACTCCTCTTCTTAAAAAACCCACCCTTGATCCCTCCAACCTCACAAACGTTAGACCCATCTCAAACCTGCCCTTCCAGGCCAAAGTTTCGGAACGCGTTGTTGCAAATCAACTTCACTCATACCTCTCCCTCCATTTCACTCTCGAACCCCTCCAGTCCTGTTTCGCCCTGCCCACAACACAGAGACAGTGTTTTTCAAAGTAATATATGACGTCCCCTCTCTCTCTGGGACCAGGGCTCCCTCTGGCTCTTCATTCTCTTGGATGTCTCCGTCGTGTTCAACACAGTTGATCACGCCATCCTCCTCCACCGCCTCTCCTCCCTCATCCATCTTATTGGGACCGCACTCGCATGGTTTGAGTCTTAGTTAACAAACCATTAACAATATATCTTGGTAAATGTTTTTTTTTTCACCGCCCCCTCAGGATTCCCCAAGGCTCCATCCTTGCCCCCCTTCTTTTCATCATCTACATGCTCCCTTCTCAGCAATGTCATCTGCAGACATGGGGTCAACTTCCACAAGTAGGCGGATGACACCCAAATCTACTTCTCCTCCAGCTGCAACTCCCAGTCTGCTGATGTCCTGTCAGCTTGTTTGACGGATATCAAGGCCTGGATGAGCACAAATTTCCTACAGCTGAATGTTGGTAAGATGGAAGCCATACTCTTTGGCTCCCATCAATGTCATTCTCTCCTGTGGGTCTGAACTTCTCAACTTCCCTGGGCTCTCCCTCAGACTCACTGAACCTGTGTGCAACTTAAGCATCAGGTTTGATCCCCAACTTTTCTTTCTACTCCACATCCGTTCCCTGACCAGGACTGCTTTTTTCTACCTCCGCCACATTGCCCACCTCTGTACCTCACAACTAATGCAGCCGAAACCCTTGTCCACACCTTCATCACTTCCCCGCTGGATTATTCCGATGTCCTCGTTGCTGGTCTTCCCAGCTCCACCATACACAAAATCCAATTAATAAAAAACTCTGCTGAACGGATATTCACCAGCACAAAACTCCATACTCTCATCACACCAGTCCTTGCTAGATTCCACTGGCTCCCAACTACCGAATGGATTGATTTCAAGATCCTCTCACTTGTTTCAAATCCCTTCATGCCCTCACACCTCTGTACCTATCCAACTTGCTTACCCACCACTCGCTGCCTTTGCTTAGCTGACTCCGGCTTCCTGTTTGTCTCTCGTCCCTCTCCTTCACCATCGGTGACCGTGCCTTCAGCTATTACGTTCCAAAACTCTGGAACTCTCTCCCTCAATCCCTCCGTCTTGCCCGCTCCCTCCCCACCTTCATATCCCGTCTAAAGACCTTCCTTTTTGATCATGCTTACGGTCACCTCCCCTCTTCCTCTCTTCCTGGCTCATTGTCAGACTCTACCACCTTCAAGTACTGTGGGATGCTACGCCGCGTGAAGGGCACTATATAAATGCAAGTTGTTGTTGTATACTCAGTTTAAAGGCAAAGGGTACTGGAGAGAAGGGAGGAAGGTTTTTCAGGTTAGATGACTAATTCTCTTCTTTCTTTCTTCTCCCTTTCCTTTTTCCCCTCCCCTCGGTAAGTCTCTTTACTTGATTGCTCAGTCAGTTACCATTAAAATATCCTGCATAATGTTGTCCTGAGCTAGACAGCACAGGATGGTCCAATTTTTTCTGGTCTCATTTGGGTTGCAAAATGCTATAACTTTATTATTTCTGGGCTGGGGTGACAGGGACATTGTTTCTATTGAATTTGTGTGAGTGTTGGGGATGAACATCCAGAACTGGGAGAGACACTCATTGAATGGGCCTTCAGTAGCAGAACATTTCTGGTAGAGGTATTAACTTTTTCAAAAAGAAAACATTGTTAAGGGAAGTACTTTAGACTTAGAAGTATGTATTTTAGAATAGAAAATGGTGATATTGGGCGAATTGGCTGGGAGAACTTTGTTGATTGTAAACTGCGTTAGAAAACTGAAGGAAACTTCATTTCATGTAATTTAAATCATATGGAGAAGCAGGATTGTTTTAGTATTATAAAGTCACAAAAAGGTATCTTATTGCATTTTGATTTATTGGTATTAAATTGATAAAAAGCAGTTTTGTATTAGATTGATAATAATGAAGTATTTATCTTGTATTTGCAGGAGATTTACGGAGCTAAAACATTATGGAGATGAATTGCAGTCCGTCATATCACACCTCCTGCGGGTCAGAGCAGTATGTAATTCCAGCATTTTTGGCAATTTTTCAATGATTGTCTGGAATAATCCTTTAATGGATAAACTTTTGAGAGAATATAGTAATAAGCAATATTGCTTAGGCAATTGTTTGAACAGAGAACTTTTTGAATTGAAATGAACATTACATATGAATATAGATATCTACTCTATAAAATTGTACACCTATTGTTCTAATTGTATGTTTAGTCGTTTTGATACATTTATGGCTTTGGCACACATCAACAAAGATTTACTTTAGGAAAGGAGTCTTCTTCTATACTAATAAAGACAAAATGTCTGTCTGTCTGCCAAGAACGCAAAAAAAATTGATATGGGTATATTTGTTTCCGGGGATTTCCTATCGTGACCTAAACAAGCTCAGCACATATGCAGGAGTCCTCCCAGGCAAACAAAAACAACTTGCACTTGTATAGCGCCCTCTACGCAGGGTCCTGCCAACCAGGAATCCTGCTGAAAGGATACATGTGTAAATATGTGAACAAGGGATGCTAACAAGTTCAATAGCATCTTTTCTTAATCTTAAAGGATAAAGATGCCTAAGAAGCGAAAATCAAGCCTTTCAAGGACAAAAAAATGCCAGACGAAAGAGCGAAGGCCGATTAAATTGGTTGCAAGAATAGCTGCAACGTGTGCAGCTAGTACATTTTAATTAAGATAATGTAAATACCAAGATTATCTCAAAAGTGTGAAGTACATTTGTTTTCATTGCAGAGAGTAGCAGATCGTCTGTATGGAGTATACAAAGTGCATGGAAATTATGGAAGGGTTTTCAGGTGTGTGGTGAAATTTCCACTTTTTTGCTGAAATTGAACTTTTTTTTGATTTTGATGAAGCTTCCTTGATCTTTAATTACCCATTGTGAAACTAAGACATATAGTCTAGGAAGATCCCCATTTTGCCTCTGGTTAGATCTCTGATTAATTAGCTAATCTTAGCCAGGGAAGCAGAAAGAGTGCTGAAAATGGCCCCAGTGCCCCAGGTGAGAGACTAGAACAAATTTGGATAAGGTTATCTTTCCCTATTTATCTAATGACCTCAACTGGAATATGTTCTGTTCACTGAAGTTGGGTGAAAAGATTTAGGATGCTGAGATTGGGCTACGATGATCCGGCACAGACACGATGGGCCGAATGGCCTCCTTCTGTGCTGTATAATTCTATGATAATTCTGTGATTCTTATGTGTGGACGAATCATCTTGAAGTTGGGTGAAATGTGAAAAATAAAATGGCAGTTGAGTTGTGTGGATTGTTGCGGTTTTGCTTCTTTTATGAACAGATTTTGAAAGCTGGGTGAACAGAGTGCATATTAACCAGGTTTAAACATGTCCCACCAGGAAAGGTCTGATATTACAAATTAGTGCAATATTACAAATTAGTGCCATAAATATCATGAGTGGTTTGTATGAAGGTGGCCCTTCAACCCATTTGATCTCTCTCTTCCACCCATTTATGTCTTCCAAATACAGCATCCAGCTGTTCAATTACAGCCTAAAGCTATTCAATCTACAAAGAAGAACTGTGATTTATAAATAGTTTATTTTCTAAAGTGTTCAGGAATGTGACATTGTGGTTGCTTATCGTTGGAGCTATGGAAGTTTGGTGCAAATAATTAATTTAGCATTTTTTGTATAATCAGCGAATGGAGTGCAATAGAGAAGGAAATGGGTGATGGACTGCAGAGTGCTGGTCACCATATGGACGTGTAAGTATCTAACAAATAGAATTACGGTGCTAACTCCTCCCCACCCCTTTAACGTATAACAAATGTTGCTAATAGTTTTCAATTGTTTTTAAAGCAAGATTAAAGCTTTTTTGGTAAATTAGGAAACAAAGTGTTACTGATGTAGTATTTATTAATCTGTTTTAAGGTGAAAATAAAAGTAGCTAAATATAAAATCTCAAGGGAATTTCCAGTTTTATAATTGTAGGAACGTTTTGGCATGGTTCCCATATCCCTTTTGAAAACTGTGCCAAAAATCATAAAATAACAAAAGGCTGCTGTACTGCACGCTTGATGAGTTCCATTTGCTTGACAGCACTATACTATCAAGTGTTTTAGATTGTATATGACTGGAAAAAATTGGTCACACAAGGCTATGGGATGCCCTGTTAACCATCATCAGACTGATGCAATTACAGGCCTACAAGTCCATAGATTCAGTGATCTAATGAGAAGCTGTGGTTGCAAACATTTTAGAAATTGTTTCCAGCAAAACACAGGCATCTATGATGATGGCTGCGCTCCCAAGGTAGGGTAACATGGCATTTTAACTGTATAATATCCATTACACTCAATAAATAAACTGGATATTAGTTTAAATTGCACAATATGTAACTGGTACTTAATTTTCTACATGAGGTGCATCTGGCCCACAGTTTATTTGCAATGCATTATTTATGCAAACTAAATTTTGATTGTTATTATATTATTTTATAATAACTTTTTATGGGCTGGTCCAAAGCAAAGTTGCTGTAAGACAAAAAAATCTACTTCACCTAACAAATTAGGGAGCCTATCATGGTTAATTGTTTGAATTTTGAATTCACTCATGGTGAAACTAAAGTCACTTGCCTGGAGTTATATAGTTTTCATATTGTGATCAAAGTATTCTTTCTATTAAAATTTAAAGTATAGGAACCTTAATTACATAGAATATACAGGAAAGAAACAAGCCATTTGGCCCAACTGATCTATTCTGACTCCACTATTTGATTTATTGGTGACTATTTTATATATGTATGTGTGTGTGTATGTATGTATGTATATATATATATATATATATATGTATGTATAATATATATGTTATATGGCCTCAGGATTTGGTCTCCCCTGCAAGTGGAAACGTCTTCTCTATGTCTACCCTATCAAAACCTTTCATAAGTTTAAAGACCTCTGTTAGGTCAGCCCTCATCCTTCTCTTTTCAAGAGAAGAGTCCAAGCTTGTTCAACCTTTCCTCATAGGTATAAGCTTGCAGTTCTGGTATCATCTTTGTAAATCTTCTTTACACCTTCTCCAGTACCTCTATATCCTTTCTATAATATAGGGACCAGAACTGTATACAGTATTCCAAGTGTGGTCTAACCAATGTTCGATATAAATTTAGCGTAATGTCCCTGCTTTTCATTTCTGTCCCTCTAGAAATGAACCCCAACGCTTGGTTTGCTTTTTTATGGCCAACCAAAATAGAGGCAGTCACCCCTGTGGACAATTTTACGGTATTTTTCTGTGACTAAATGGAATGAAATTTACCATGTTGCAGAGGTTAATGATACATAGCAAAATAACATGAATTTAAAACAAGGTGGTAAAGTTTGTAAGGAGTAGGATTGGACAATTGTACTTCCAACATGTAGGGATATAACATCGGAATTCAGCAAAACAAAGGACCAAGTAGAGCATTGATTTTTAAAAATATCTTGTGTTATAATGAAGCATGAAAAAAAGGCATAAATTGCTTCTTTACATTGAGATCACAGAGTGTTTTAATACTTTCAGTGCAGCAAGCCAGGTGTAGTGTGGGTTTAAGGTAGACCTGTACTCAACCCACTACCTGCCCTGTACTGATTCCAGTTGTCTGTCACTATACTTTGAGCTGAAGAATACCTTTGTATAAGAGAAGGAGGAATCTTTATTGCACATAGAACTTGTGTGCTATGGAGAGTAGGATGGAGACTGGGAAATTGAGTTATCTGCCAATAATGGTGAGCAGTTTAGTTTTTTAAGTGTGGTGAAATGTATAACTCAAAGCTTGTTTCTAATAAAATTTGATTCACTTAGTTACCTTATCTAGGTTGCATTTCAAGTTTGTATAATTGTGTTCAGATATGCAGCATCAATTGATGACATCCTAGAAGAGGAGGAGCACTATGCAGATCAATTGAAGGAATATCTCTTCTTTGCAGAAGCTCTTCGGTAAGTAATAATAATCCTTGCATTTCATATAGCGCCTTATCACATCTTCAAGACGTCTCAAAGCGCTTCACAGAATATACTGTAAAGTGAATTGACTATTTTGTTATTAGCTTAAAGATGGATGAAATTGGTTATGAGATGGTAAATTATTGGCGGTTTGGATAAAATTGCAATGCTGTGAATTGGCTTTGAAGTTTAAATGCAGAGTAGCATTATCGATTAACAAATAAGTGACTTTTTTTTAATTTTTAGGTCAGTGTGTAGAAAGCATGAACTGCAACAGTATGATCTGGAGATGGCTGCTTTGGATCTAACGTCAAAGAAACAACAGAGAGAGGAGCTAGCAACTGGAGTATAACATTGCCCCCCCTTTTTCTCTTCCCCTCCCTCCTCACATTAATTTTTGAGAGCTGTATTAATCACATTAAATGTGAATGGCAGTAAAGTAATGCAGTACATGACCATTGGGTAGAGCAATGTTGATTAAATCCTCCAGCACTTTGTCTAGGTTAGACAAATGTGCATTTTAAACTCTGCAGATAAATTAGGGTAAAATATTTTGGATTGTTTTTAGTATAGTGGGTACATCTGTGAAGTTCAGTTTACATGAAAGTTAGCAACATAACTGAATAGAAATCCCAAACTGTTTGTTTTACTCTTTTAAATTTGTCCATTTAGTCTGCTTTTCTATCTTAATCTAACACCCAATGAAATGGTTCGTCCTTCACCAACAACAGAATGTAACTGCGGAGGGACTTGCTTCCATTTTGCCAGTGAAAACTCAGAACTTTATGCTCGGAAACCTTTGTAATGTGGGAAATTAACTAGACTGAAAATAGACTGTTTTCTAAACCTAGTTTCTTGACTCTAGTCACCAGTACTTTTATTAAATAACTGAGCAACTGTACAAACAACTTCATTTAAAAATGCATAAGCCCTTTGTCATGGGCTGGTGTAAATTAGTTTTTTTTAATACCACCAATTTAACACATTAACTTTTGACTTCCTTATGTTACTCTAATGTTTGTGGGATAACTTATTATTTCTGCAACAATGTGTAAGTATTGACAGTAGTAAATTCCAAGCTATTTTTCTATCCGGTAGACTTTGCGAACATTCTCCTTGAAAGGCATGACCAGCAAGCTTTTTGGACAGGAGACACCTGAACAAAGGGAAGCAAAGCTCAAGGTTTTGGAGCAGCAAATTGTTGATGGCGAGGAACTTGTAAAGACCAAAAATCTGGAGTGCGAGTAAGGCTGAATCTACTTCATAGATATTCACAGTGTCTAAACTAGCAAGCAGGATTAATGAGTTCCTGAGGACTTTGCAGCATAGATTATGTGGAACAGTTTTGTTTCCATGAGCTAGCAACTGTCTATAGGTCTAATTGATTGGAAGAGCATTATTGCAGAAGTAATTCTAGTAAATAGTACTGTACTCCCTCAAACAGTATTGGTAAGTAAACACAAAACGTTTCCTACCAGCCGGAAGATGTTAAAATTAGTTGGATAAATTTCTATTGAAACTGCTTTCTTTACATTTTAAAAAATGCTTAAAATGGTCCATTTTCCTAATTTATAGTTTTTTTTTAACTATGTAATGGTCAGGTGGAAGCATTGAAATACAGTTTTAAAGTTAACCTGAATATTTGCATAAAATAGTAATAATGTTCTGAAGTGAGCCTACAAGTGTGACCTTTATCATTTTATTTTGGGGCTGCTATTTGTGCTCCCTTGGTGAATTAGTAGTGGTTTAATTGTTATTCTCGTTGGCAGTTTTCATTTTCTTCTTTGTCAAATAGGGTAAATGGAGTAGATTAAACTGGGTTAAGATCAGATTTGCTAGTTTTTCATAAACCTTACGAATTTTAGATTTCTACTTTGATTATTTATAGTTAGCTACATAAAGTTGGAGTCCTGTAGCTCAGTGGTTAGAGCACTCGTTTTGCAAGAGAGAGACCTGAGTTCAATTCCAGGCAGGGCGAAACCTTGGGCAAGTTTCCTTACTCCACACGCCTAATAATAATCCCTCCAAAACCAAAAAAAACCAATAATAAATTGGTCATTTTCAATCTACGACTGTTTGTGGGACATTGCTGTGCGCAATTGGCTGCCGCGTTCGCCCACAAATATACAGTCAATTCACTTTACAGTGTGTTCTGTGAAGCGCTTTGCGACGTCCTCCCGACGTGAAAAGCGCTATATCAAATGCAAGGATTATTATTATTATTATTAAAGTTTTCCCATAAACTTAGCACATTTCCTTTGCTTTTTGCTGTGAGACCATCAGTGGATACAGATTTAACTAGTGTTCAGCAGTGCAAAGTTTGCTGACCTGACTGCAAACTGGTCTGCAGCAAGGCAAGGTGAGCTCCCCTTGCGGTTGCTTGTTCTACTCCAGTTAGCAGCTAAGAAATTAAGAAAACTTGTCCCAACTGTGTTGTTCATTTATGGGACTTTAGAACCGTATTCCAGCTGGTGAAGTCATTGCTGAAGTCATTGCTGTTAGCCTGCTGAGCTTTATTATGGTTTGATATGTAATGTGCTAAAATCACAGTGGAATACATACGAGAAGCAGCCACTACTTGGCTCAAAAGCTCATTCTCAGTGACCAGTCACCTTGATCGATGAACACTGTTGGTTACAAATGATATTCAGTGTTAAAGTGGACAAAGATTTCCATTTATGAAAGTAACTAAATCAATGCAAAATCACTTGGTTTGGTTTTAAGATATTTGTTTTTAGAAAGTAAGGAAATGGGATTAAAAGATCTGGGGATATAACAAGATAGGGGAACAGGCTCAACTAATTGAAACAGGTTTTTGCTTCCCTGTGTCTGTTTAGTTACTTTGGACACCAGAGATAGGAACCAATGATCTACAAGCAAAGAACCGTAACTATGAGCTAGGTGTATAAAATTCTATCAGATTACTGCAGTTATCTTCTCATTCTTGTGTTCTATTGCTCAAGGGGTTTTTAAACCAATTTTTGTTCTATGTATTTTGGGAGATTAGGTTGACTGCTGCAGTTTGTTTCACATTCTGTTGCTGTTTATGCTTGGAAATTTCTCAGACTCAACAAATTTCTGGACTTTATAACTGTTTAGTTTCTGATTCTTTTGACAGTGCTGCTTTTGTCTCTTTGCTGTTACTGGTCAAATCGGCAGTAGAAACAGGAAATTGGCTGAGTATAAATTTTCCATCTAAAGTTGAATACTCTATCTGCTTTATTTTAGGGATTTTGTGAAAGATGCTTGGACTGACATTGAGCGTTTTAAGGAACAAAAGAACAGTGACCTAAAAGAGGCCCTTATCAGCTATGCAGTAATGCAGATAAGCATGTGCAAAAAGGTAGGTGTTTCTGACCAGCCCATTAGATTTGATCTAGTGCCTCATCACGTCAAAGCCTCTCAAAGCACATACATTACCTTGAAATGCAGAAACAAATCCGGGACAAAACAAATTTTTGCAGAGAGTGGTTGTGAACGTTTTTTTTCTGACTGGAGGGAAGTGTGCAATGGTGTCCCCCAGGGGTCGGTATTGAGACCACTGCTGTTTTTGATCTATATAAATGATCTGCACTTGGGTATAGAGAGTACAATTTCCAAGTTTGCAGATGATACTAAGCTGGGAAAAGTAGTAAACAGTGAGGAGGATAGTAGCAGACTGCAAATGGACATAGACAGATCGGTAAAATGGGCAGACACGTGGCAGATGAAGTTTAATGTGGAGAAAAGCAAAGTGATGTATTTTGGGAGGAAGAATGAGGAGAGGCGATATAAGCTGATGGTACAGTCTTAAAGGGGATGAAGGAACAGAGAGACCTGGGGGTTCGCATATAAGTAAATCTTTGAAGGTGACAGAACAGGTAGATAAAGCTGTTTAAAAAAAAAAGCATACAGGATACTAGGTTTTATAAATAGGGGCATAGAATACAAAAGTCAGGAAGTTATGATGAACCTTTATAAAACACTGGTTAGGCCTCAGCCAGAGACTGTGTTCAGTTCCGGGCACCACACTTTAGGAAGGATGTTAAGGCATTGGAGAGGGTGCAAAGGAGATTTACCAGGATGGTACCAGGAATGAGGGACTTCAGTTATGAGGAGAGGCGAGAGAAGCTAGGATTATTCTCCCTGGAGCAGAGAAGATTAAGAGCAGACTTAATAGAAGTTTTCAAAATTTTGAGGGGATTTGATAAGGTAAACAAGGGGAAACTATTTCCACTGGCGGTTGGTCGGTAATCCGAGGACACTGATTTAAAATAGTTGTTAAAAGAAACAGAGGGGAGGTGAGAAGAAATGTTTTCACACAGCGAATTGTTCAGATCTGGAATGCATTGCCTGAAAGGGTGGTGGAAGCCGATTCGATAACAACTTTTAAGGGAGAAGTAGATAATTATTTGGGGAGGACACATTTGCAGGGCTATGGGGAGAGGGATTGATTTGGATAGCTCTTTTCAAAGAATCGGCACAGACACAATGGGCTGAATGGTCTCCTTCTGTGCTGCAGAATTCTATGATTGCTAAACAGCACCAACAAGATTCCACAATTCAAAATAAAATGAATAACCCCCAAAAAAGTTTCAGTAGTTTGGATGAGGGTAGAATATTGACTCAGAACTCCCTGCTGATCTTTGAACTGCAGCCATGAGATCTTTAGCATCTATTGGAATTACCAGTACTGGCTGATTACACTCAAATTTGTCATCCAAAGGATGGCACCTCCAGAAATACAGTATTCACTCATTCATGAACTGAGTAGTCATCTAGATTATAATCTGGCCCAGGTTTTGGGGGTGCAGGAGGAAGTGTTGAATTTACAAATTCACTCCCAATCTTTCCCTCCCCCCCCCCCCAGCAGATCAATTTAATAATTGGCACCAACCCCCCACAAAAGGCTACTCAGCACAATGACCCTCAAATATCCATATACGACTATATGAATCTTTTCTGCCCTCTTTTCCTCCCAAATAATAATTTGGTTACTCATCCGACTGTTTGTGGGTTACTGCTGTGCACAATTGGCTGCTGCGTTTTGCCCATAAAAATAAAAATAGTGTCAATTAACTTCACAGTACCGTGAAGTACTTTGAGATATGTCAAAGATGTAATAACGTGCTATATCAAATTCAATTATTATTATTAGTGTTTTGCATAAGTGAAACTTTAATTGCATGTGCTAAACTTACATTTTCTGGCTTTGAAAATCTTCTTTCTTCCAAACTGGTGCAATTTTAATATGTTGTGATCCCCTCTGAAATTTAAATCCCACTTTGATTTTTCACTATTTAAGTAATCTAGACTTGATCCTATTATTATGGTAACCTGTAGTTATGCTGTACACTGCTATAAATGTGCTATTTGTTTTGTACTATGTATAAACAGTGGTTTCAAAACTCATACAATATTACAATAAATTGCTGCAGGCTATTGCATTGATTATAAAATGACTTTTTCAACACTAAAATGGGTGGGGGGTTGCAGACAGGCATTCTCTTCTCTCATTAGTGCTGGTAATAGTCATAAATTACAAGTCAAACAACTTGTTCTGGGTTTTTCCTTTCTCCTATTAGAGAGACTCATTGACTTGTAATGATACCAGAACAGTCATTGAAAGGAACTAAACTGATACTCCAACTTTGCTCTAGTTGCTTTATTAAACTTTTAGCATTGTAATCTGCCACTTAGTGTGTAAATCTTTTAAACTACATGTTCTGAAAAACCTGCCTAATTTTTAGATTAAAAACAAGAAACCAGCTCTGGGATTTTACTGACTATAACAGCTCACTAGGGAAGCCTGAGGCTGCTTTTTTGCTGGCACAATTCCATAATTATTAAAAGCCGTGTTTGTTCTGTTCCATCTTAGTGTTTGTATTGAAATCATTCCAAATTGGTTTAAATGACCTGATGGTGAGAGGCTTCATTATTTCAAGCTTATCAGTTTACAAAATCAAATAAACACCCCCTAAGTTATGAATATTTGTAAGAAAAAGCTGACTTGTTCTTTAATTTTTAGTAAACATTTAAAATGTGATATTTTCTTGTTTTCTCATACAGAGGGTTCAAACTAAGCAAACTACACACTTTTATTGCTATTGTTGAAAATTATTTCATTCTGTTGATTTGACAAGTCGAGCAAATTTTCACTTTATTGAACTGCATTTTGGTTTGTGATTTAATAAGGGCAAAATATTAATGGAATACTGCACTTTAAATTGGGGTGCTCATGGAGTACTCTCCTCTGAGTCAGAAGGTTGTGGGTTCAAGCCCCACGTTGACTTGGAATTGAATAGGCTAAGATGACCCTCCACTGTAATGCTGCATTGTTAGAGATGCTGTCCTTTAGATGAGCCGTTAAACTGAGGTCCAATCTGCGTGTTTAGGTGGACGTTAAAAATCCTATGACACTATTCAAAAAGAGAAGGGAGTTTCTTCCAGTGCCCTGACCAACAGATCCTCCAAATAAAATTGATTACTCACTTCATGCCTATGAGTCCTGTAGCTCAGTGGGCAACCGAGAGACCTGAGTTCAGTTTCAGACAGAGGGCGAAATCTTGGGCAAGTTTCCTTACTCCACACGCCTAATAATAATCCCTCCAAAATCAAAAACAATAATAAATTGGTCATTTTCAATCTACGACTGTTTGTGGGACAAGGGAGGCAGCATTAACTGGGATCTGGACAAATTGAACAGTTAATTTAAGAAATGCCAGATGTATTTTAATATGGATAAATGGAAAGTATTGCACATTGCTTTATGAAATCAACATATAATGAGAGATGGCAAAGGTGAAAATTTGTGGATGACTGACAATTTGAAAGGCTGCACTAAGTTCATATGTTTGAGTTTTACATGAAGTGGCTTTTAAAAACTATTGCAGCATATAATGCGGTCTTCATTTGATTATTTCAAAGCAGATTTTTTAAATACACTGGCAATTCTTGTTCCTGCATAATAGAATTGGGACAGTTCTTATTTGGTAACATTGCTAGTTGAGTTGTAAAAAAATAACTTTCACAGGGAACATGTAGCTATTCTGTGAAGACTCATAAATAAGCATTGAAGCTCTTGGTTTGTTGTGTATTTTATAACTAGACGGCCACTGCTTAAAAGTGGGAAGAGGTGAAAACAAACCATGTGAATTAAACGGCCTTAACAGGCAGAGAATATTCACTGTTTGTGGGACATTGCTGTGCGCAATTGGCTGCCGTGTTTACCCACGAATATACGGTCAATTCACTTTACAGTGTGTTCTGTGAAGCGCTTTGGGACGTCCTCCTGACGTGAAAAGCGCTATATCAAATGCAAGGATTATTATTACTATTGTTTCCAAAAAGATGACTTGAATGTGACTGTTCTGTTCAAGGATTCAGTATTAACCAGACTATTTGAAAAAGCATTGCTTTTATAAACCAGTTTAAAGCTCTTGTGGCTGTTGTATTACATGTGTAAAATGTGGCTTTCTAAAAAGTTTAGAATTTTACTTTGTAAAATTGCATTTGTCTTCTGCTAGTGAGTTAGTGCACTATTTTTAAAGTTCTGCTTTGATCTTGCTCAGTAAACTCATTGAAATTCTGTTTTAAGATGCATTTTATGTTTTTTAGGGAATTCAAGTTTGGACCAATGCTAAGGAATGCTTTAGCAAAATGTAAACGTTTACCTACAATAAATTCTTCAAAGATTACATAAAAGCACAAGAGCTAAAATTCTGACTGTAACTGAATACATCAAATCCTCTTACATCATCCACTTGTTTATGAACAGTGCACAAAGAACTTTTGTGAGTTTTTTTTACTAATAAACTTCAAAAAATATGTTTTCAGGGATATGGGGTTAAGAGGAAAGTATTCTGTGTTACAGAAGCTAATCCATAGGCAATGCTGCTTTCTTCCTGTAGATTTGGAGGCCTTCAGATCATTTCCAGATGTAGTTACATTGTGCCAATTGTGTTCTCTGAATTTTTGCATAGGCTTTCACCAAGGTTAACTCCCATGAATCCTAATGAAATGGAAGACTGTTCATGTGCAGCAATATTCCTATACATGTACAATCTAATTTTACTTGAAGAGACCGATACAATTATCTAGAGTAAGCATTTTCTGTAATTCCATTTTGATTTTTGTGCTTGCTGGTGTTGAGCAAGCTAGATGACCTTTCAGCATGTTCAGTTTTGGGTGGAATATAGAGAGTGTAACTTATAACCAGATGCATCTAATTATTCTTAGTAAAAGATATACCCATTAGCTTTATTATTAACAGCTCAATTCAGTTGGTCCTCAACTTCAGTTTCCTTGATTTTTTTTTCTATTAGGAAAATATCTACAGTTATTAATCAAGATCCACAAAGTTATTGTTCTTTCGTCATGCTTCAAATTTGTTCTAAGTACTTCTTAGGTTTAAAATTTGTGATTTATAGTTGTCCAAAAAGTAATTAGAAATCCCTTGTTGGTAGGCTTCCGGGAAGAACTTATTTTTAGAAAAATCCACATTTAGTAACTAGTCTTACCCCTCTACTCGTGTGAATTGTTTAAATTAACTTGATACCTTTATAAAACATGAACACTTTAGCTGTCACGTTTATTTGTCAATTTCTTGAATATGATAAAAGCATGCTTTTACACGTTTGTTGCAATGGAACACCACGTCTTTCTCCTAGATTAATGAAATTGTAACTAAGTATTATGTACATGATATTATGGTAAATATCTTCAATTACATTTTTGTGTTGGGTTCAGTTGCATGAATAACAGAAGTTATCATTCAGCAAACCTTAAAATTCTGGTGATTCTTTAAAAAAAATACTCAAAAGGGATATTTTGAAGATTTTTAAAAACTGCTTGTTTAGGCAAAAAAAACTTTTAAAACAAAGTTGCCTGTCAAAGAACAGTAACTTACTTGACGCCATTTATATATTGTTGCCTTTGCCATTTCTATTCCATTCTGTTTTGATTTCTAATAACACTAAATAAAGGTGCCTTAATATTCTGCCAATGCTAGGCACTTTGTAATATGATTGAATTCATGTTTATAGATACTGTACTTGGTGCCTGAAATTATTTGGAAGTTACAAGACCCTTACATCAGTTACGAAGATTTCTTGAAATTTATAGATTTAAAAAAAATTGAGTTCCCTGTAGAAAATGTGCCAAAAATGCTGAATAAAATTGCTTTTAAAATGCAAATTCCTGTTGTCATGTCATTTTAATTTCCTTTTTTGGGGCTGTAAATTTGAAGGGCAAAGTAAAATGCAGTGTTGCTGGTGGTCAAATAACAATTTGCATTTGTATAGCACCTTCTACATAGGGATAACATCTTAAACTACTTTACAAATATAGAGTAGGTGCCTGAGATGAAGATGGAGACCTGAAGATTAGGGGGGAGGTGGTTGAAAGTGCAATCATAGATACTGATTTTTTTAGACTGTTTTTGAAAGCTGCGAGGGAGGAATAAGGCAGATGTGTATATGAGAACAGAATTCAGAGGGCAGAGGCGAAGTGGCTACAAGTTTGCCTGTAAATAACAACAAGATTACATTTGTACAGCGCCTTTCACGTCGGGAGGACGTCCCAAGGCGCTGGACAGTGTACAGCATTTCAGACCCGAGCTGGGGTCAGGGAAGAAGGGAGGGGAGGGGAAGGGGGCTGACCGATGGCATGGTCGAAGAGGAGGGTTTTGAGGCGGAACTTGAAGGAGGCTAAGGAGGGGGTGAGGCGGAGTGATTGGGGGATGGAATTCCAGAGGTTGGGGGCAGAGTGGCTGAAGGCTCTCCTGCCAATGGTGGGGCAGGTGGGTTGGGGGACGTGGAGCAGGTCAGAGCCATCTGAGCGGAGGGAGTGGGCGTGTTGGTAGGGGGTTAGGAGGTCGCAGAGGTAGGGTGGGGTGAGGCACTGGAGGGCTTCGTATGTGAGGACCAGGATCTTGAACTGGATCCTCAGAAGGATAGGGAGCCAATGGAGTCGGGCGAGAGTGGGGGAGATGGGGTCACGGAGTTCGGTGTGGGAGAGGACACGGGCTGCAGAGTTCTGGATTATCTGCAGCCTGCGGAGGGAGGAGTTGGGAAGGCCGACAAGCAGGGGGTTTGCACAGTCGAGCCTGGAGGTGATAAAGGCATGAACAAGAGTTTCAGTGGCCTGAGGGATGGGGTAGTGGTGGAGTCGGGCAATGTTACAGAGGTGAGGGAAGGCAGAGCGGGTCGTGGCTTGGATGTGGGAGAGAAAAGACCGTTGAGGGTCAAACAAGACACCCAGGTTCCTGACTGGCGGTAAGTTGTAGTGTGCAACCATGGAGGTTGATACTGCCAGAGCCTGAGGTGCTGAGGCGCTGGCGTGAGCCAGTCAGGAGGGCCTCAGCCTTGTTCACATTCAACTGTAGGAAATTTGCCCTCATCCAGGACTTGATGTCTGACAGGCAGTCTGTCAGGACAGCAGTGGTCCTGGAGTTGAGGGTGAAGGCAGAAAGATAGAGTTGGGTGTCATCCGCATACACGTGGAAGTTGACCCCATGTCTGCGGATTATGTCACCAAGGGGGAGCATGTAGATATTAAAGAGGAGAGGGCCAAGGACAGCCCTGGGGGACGGCCAGGGAGAGATCAGACAGTGGCATGAAACAGGACCTAGTTGGTGAAGAGGAAGGAGTGGATGGGGAAGTAGGGCCCAGAAGATTTTGAGGACAAGTCGTGGGACAAGGCCATGGAAGGATTTCTAAAGCTAAGGATGAGGATCTTAAAGTTTGATCTGCTAGGAGACGAGGAGCCATACAAAGTGCAGTTTTGCACAGGAGCAGAAACCAGTCGTTGTTTAAAAATTTGACAACATGCTCTCATAAAATCATAGAATTATACAGCGCAGAAGGAGGCCATTCGGCCCATTGTGTCTGTGCCGGCTCTTTGATGAGCTATCTAATTCAATCCCACTCCCCTTCGCTCTCCCCATAGCTTGCAAACTTGTCCTCAAATAATTATCTATGCTCTGGTCAAAAATGTTTTTTAAAAAAAAACAAAGTGTACAGAGCTTAAAATCAATGACTTGATGTCCGACAGGCACCATTTTACAAAACCAGAAATGTTTTTAAAATTCACAAATTTTGTCTAGATGGCTTTTGTTAATTCTGCAGGAATTTATCAAAGCTGATAAGACTCTTTATTACATAACTAGCTGTACCCGTTGCAGCTTCGCTTGCAACCAAAGGATCCAATATGGAATGTAAATTTCAGTGATACTGCTCACAAACCATTTAACGTGCCATAAACCCTGTGTCTACACCATAAGCAAAACTGCCATACATGCATGATGAGCTTGTTTAGGTCATAGCTCATCAACGAAAGAAGATTCTATCAAAGGGCCATAGCTCATGAACGATAGATCTTATCCAAGCTACACTAACCAAAGGTTTTTACTGTTTGATCCAGCAGGTTCTTGAGTTATTGCAAGGCTTCCGTGTAGATGACATTTGCAGTTTTTCATCCTTCAACCATGATGTACAGGTTTTGAGATGAACCCACAACATAATGGGAAAAGCAGGGTGTATTCAAGAAAAGGCCAGCAACCTTTAAGCTCTGCCCCTATGCCTTGTTAATTGACATGGCAAAGCACATTTGCTCGTTGGATTGGATTGCTCGTTGACACAATCACTTATGATTATAGTTATGGTTGAGGTTCAGGAAAACTTTGTTTTTGAGCTCTGCTATTCATGTACAATGGTCTCACAACCTTGGGAGATCTGAATTTGGCCATCTGTTGGATCCACTGGAATTTTGCCATTCCCCAATTTCCACAAGGAGGTCGGCATATGCTCCAGCTGTGGAACTGCCATGAAGATGGACTTGCATGTTTGTCCTGAGCTTCATCTTCTCTGCACACACCCACAGCCTGGAAGTCTTACGACTGGCATCCAGTTCATCAGCAAAGGTACCTGGTTGTATGATAAATAGTGTCTGGCTTACAACCAAAGGATTTCCCAACAAAATAAGTGTCACCCCTCTCATCGTGTTTTCCCTGATGTCCTGAAGTGTCTTGTCCAGAGCCTCCAAGGTATGATTGTGCAACATGGTGCATTCATCCCACACATTGGTTTTATAGTCCTTGATCAATATGGCTGCAGCTGTACCTTTCTTGATATTGCACACTGGCTCCTCTGTATGAGAAGGGTTCAGTGGCAGCTTAAAGACAGAATGGGCTATTCTGCCGCCCGTAAGTAAAAGTTGCTGCAATACCAGAGGATGCAACAGTAAGTGCAATTTAGCCCCTGGACCGAATCTTGGCCAAGATAAGATTGATGAGGTATGTTCTTCCTGTACCACCAAGCACACCATGAAAGATAATAACTCCTTCATCGTGGTCAACCTTGTGAAGGATACTCTGATACCCTGCAGCTTGATCTTCTGTCATGGTTGATTCTCTCTCCTGGACAAAGTTTTGCATTTCATCTTAGTTATAGTTGATTTCCTGCAAAATTTCTCTGGCCAAGCTGACATCCTCTTTTCTGTGAGTACAGGGCAACAACAGTAGCAGCAAATTACACTTGTGTAGTGCCCTTCATGTTGTAAAGATGTCTCAGGGTGCTGGACAATCAGGGGTTTTGGACCTGAGCTGGGAGTTGGGGTCAGAAGGGAAGGAGGGCAGGTGGGGGGTGGGGGTAGTAGGGTTGCAGAAGGCACGATCAAAGAGGAAAGCTTCAAACAAGACTTGAAGGAAGCAA